GAGCTGCAGGCACAGCCAGGGCTGGGGATGCTTCACCTGGCGTTGAATTGAGTGGTGGAGAGGGATGTGAGGGGACTGGAGGGGTCCCTGCTGCACTTGCTCCGAGTGAAGGTTTCTGGCAACAGCAGATGTAAAACCTGTGGCCCCTTGTGAAGGTTTCCGTCCTCGTGGCTTGCCGCTGCCTTTGGCCCTCGGTTTGCACTTTCCTGGCCCCATGCCTTGCTTTGCTCTATGAAACCCAAAAAAAAGGGAAAGAATGACGTGTGGTCCCAAAAATACTACTCACAGGGCACCCTGGCCTTTCTTCTGGGCCGGCTGCCCTCCTGGGATCCTGCCGAGACCTGCCACAGGGAGCTGCCGCGTCTCCTCACTGTGCTGTGACCCGGCGCTTTGGTCCCTCTCGTCCCAGAGGGACCACCATCCTGGTGGCCCCGCAAAGGAGCCGGCACCCCATACCCGACACCTGAGCAAGCGCTGCGAGTCTTGTCCTGGGGACCCCGCTCCATCCCCACAAGTATGGGGTGATGGAGCTGAGCCAGGCTGGACATCTCCACCACCGCTTGCCGGTGGGGGTCCCACTGGAGGGGACATCTCCCCTTGTACAGGACCTGCCCATCCGGTCCCCAGGAGCACCGGGACTTTGCTGCTGCTGGCAGTGGGACTGGTGGGCCAGGTCTCGGGGGAAGAAGAGCCCTCGCTGCCCTGTTGAGATGGCAGAATTTCCCAAAGTAGGTCAGGTTAATTTTTTAACGCGTGCAGATTTGCTTGTTACCATGGATATTGCTCAATTATACACCAATAATCCCCCATGAGAACTTCATTGTCGCCACTTTCCTCCCCCCTCACCCCCCCTTTTTTCTTTAAATATTCCCAGGGAGGTGTAAGGATGCGCTGAGGGGCTGAGTTGGGGGTAGGAGACCGGCGCCAGGGGAGGGAAAACGGGGTTTAGGCGTTCAGGAGGTGGCGGTGGGGCGCTGGCAGAGCTCTGGAGGGCAGGCAGGGGCAGCTCGAGGCATGGGGCTGCCCCCCTCTGCCCAGAGCCCCCCGTGGCCCAGCACCTGGGACTCCCACCCCTACTTTACCCTCACCCGTCCCTCCCATCCGTTGCTTGGGGATGGCTAAACCAAACACCCCGCTTCCAGCGGGCTCAAGGATTTGAGGGAACAACTGCTCTCCTGCATCCCCACCTGGCAGTGTCTCAGGGGCTGTGGGACCCAAGGGGGTTTTGCAATGGAGGCTTCCCCGGGCTGATGGTCCCCCAGGCTGATGGTCCCCTGGTGATTTTCCAAGAGGCCAGCACCCAATTCAGCAGCAGAGACCTTCCCTGGAGCTTGTGGGTGCTTTGGCACTGTGGGACACCCCTTCCTGAGATATGGGCAAAAAATGGGGTGCTGCGGGGTCCCTCTCCCCCATATTTGCAGAGCCATTGGGGTGTCTCCTCCCCCGTGCTGCCCCCCTGGTTTGCTCTGCGGGCTTCTTACACCTTCAGCAGTGCAGGAAGCAAGTGTGGCAGGAGGCAAGAAAAATATTCTGCTGGAAGGTTTTTTTTTCTAATGCAAACTTTTTTTTTTTTTTGGGTAGAAGTGGGTCACTCGAGGGGTGACAGAGTAAGAGCATCATTGCCTGGGTACTGCATCCCGTTGCCATGGTGACCTGAGGGCTGCATCAGTCAACAGCTTTAAAAATGTGACAGTTGAGTGAGGCTGAAGATTTTAATGAGGACAGACACTTGCTCGCTTAGTTTTGATAACCGAATACTCTACAAATACCCACCAGCGGAATGGTTCTGCACCTCTGGAGTGCATTTGCAATGCATGGCCGGGGTGCTCCCCTTCCCTAGGCAGAGCCCTGCGCTCCAGGATGGGAGCGTGGGCTGGGGCTGCCTTGGAAATAGTGGGGGAAAGATGGATGCAAACCAGACAGCTCTTTTTTTAACTCCTCCTGCTAACCCCACCCAGGGGACAAGGTGACACAACTGCAGAGCCAGGAGCAGGTTTGGGTTTCCAAGGCATGGCCTCAGCCACGTGCCCTCTGGCATTGGCTGCTACGGCCGTAGGGTGTGATGGGGCCACCCTCGGCCACTGCCACTGCCTTGTGCCTGCAATAAAGCAAACCTGGGGAGCGAACAGAGCTTGCTAAAGGGGAGATTATCTCTTGCACCAGGGTCTTGCAGGGGTGGGTGCGCCGTAAGCAAGCCCCCAAGCCTCAACAGCAAGCCCGGAGAAGTTGTGGGGCTTGGGAAAGCAAAGCCCGGTGCCGCTGAGGCAGGGGTGGGAGGCTTGGAAAGGCTCAGCAGTGCCACTTGCATCCATTGGTGCTCTGGGAACCCTCATTTCGTGCTGACCACAATGGGTGCGTGCCGTGCGGTGCCCCAACGCCGGCTCCTGCTGACGGTGCATGAGGCAAATCTGCAGCTTCCGCTTTTTTGTTCCCATGCCAAAATCGGTCAGTCCCGCACCTTGGGGAAGGAGCTGCCGCCTCCAGCAGCCCAGCTAGACGCGCGCGGGAGCAGGATGTTTACTGGGACAGCTGAGGGCACGCCAAGGACCTGTGGGTGTTGTGTTTAAAAGCAAACTGCAAATATAAAGTCTCTTCCACTTGATTTTGCTGCAGCTCCCACGCTGCCTTTCCTTGCAATGCCGCCACCGTGTCCAGCCAGGACCTGGCTGCAGTGCATGGGGCCGGGGAGCCCGCAGGCACCCAAGGGCACACGATGCCCTTGGATGCCAGGGCTTTGCAGGCAGAGGGGCCGGTGCAGGGCATAGTGGCGTTGCCGGTGACAGGCGCTTCCCATTTGCTGCCCCCGGTACCACCCGCGTGCGGCGTGAGTCCTGCCTGCTGCCAAAAATATGATCCCGGCTGTCTTGTGACCGTGACAGTGTCACCACGCCAGCCGGGCGATCTGCAAGATACAGCCCTCTGTCACATGTAGCAACATGGAAAGTATTGACGCAGTGTCACTGACTGAGGGATGGGCCACGGCACTGCGCCCTGGGCTTGGTCCAGCACGCCAAAATAGCTGGGGAGCCTTTCCATCACAGCTGGCGGGCACTGGACCTGACCCCTGAGGAATGGCAGGCGCCAGCCCCAGGTCTGCCCTTCTGTGTTTCGGCTCCGGCAGCCACCCTGATAGGTGCTGGCAAGGGGAGAGACGTCAGCGTGGGGCACAGGGGCAGGGTGTGACAACCTGCCTTGCAAGCGGCCACGGCAGACGGCAGCTCTGCGGCACCCAACACGCACACTGCCTCGTCCCTGCCAGGGGACAGCCGCGGGCGCCCTCCACCCCCGGCTCTGCTGGTCCTGCTGTAACCAGAGCCACTGTTCTCCTTTCCAGGTGTCTCTTAAAAATGGTCAAGGGGAATATTGTAGCCCCTGAAGAGATCTTGAGCTTCTGTTGCAATGGCCTCCAGGTACCCCCATGCCGTGCAACTAACACCGGGGCTCCCCATCGTGCCGCTGGCTACTAACCAAGGCTGTGCCAGGCAGATGCCACCCCGTGCCTGGAGCTGCTCCCAGCCCCGCACCAGCTCTGGCTCCATCCGCGCCCCACGCGTTCCCCATCAGCATCCCCGGCCTCTTGCTGGCTACCGTAGGGTCAGGGCTGTTCCCACAGGGTGCCAGATTTTTCCCTAAAATTTAGAAACGGCAAGCACTGGGAAAATGAACGGCTGGAGCTCCGGCCAGGCTGGCTGCTCACTTTGCAGCAGGCGGCTTTGGAGCTCTTTGCATTGTTGGCTCGTGCCCCAGAGCCTGCTGGCTTCCTGAAATAGCTCCATGGTACTCATGCAGGCACCTCGGCACGCTGGGAAACAGCCCGGGAGGTTCGCAAAGGGGTTTGGAGCTTGCTGGAAGGGCTCCGGCGGCCAGGGGGTCCGTCTTACCACGGGATGGGGGGGCCTTTGCTGTAGGCTTGGCTTGCTGCATTCGCCGCCGTCTCTGCTAAGCTGAGGTTTGTGCTGTTCCTGGGATGTCGTGTACCAGTAGCTATGGAAACAGAGGTTAGACCCGCTAGAGAAAAATGCTATTCCGAGAGGCGGTGAGCCCGGGGTAGTCGGGAAAGCTTAATTCTCAGCATAAATCCATCTTTAAAAGAAGCCGGGCAAACCAAAGGGCAAAGAAGCTGCTGCAATGGGGCTCTCGCAACAAGTGCTGCCAATGGGAGCCACAGTGGGAGCAGAAAGCGGAAGGAAGGGCTGTAACGAAGCCCAGACGGCTCCTCATGTCTCCTCAATTACTCACCAGGCTAACCGAGTTCACCCCTTGTGTAACATGGCTCACTTGACATCTAATCAGCTATTTTTTTTGTCGGCACAGTCGCAATACCAGTCTCTCTCTTCCAACCCACCTCCTGCGGGGCGGCAGGCAGGAGCGGCTCTGCGCCCAGCAAACTGCGAAGCCCATAAGGGCTGTATTTAACTGCGCAACCAACCCCAAACCAAGGATGCTTTCCCTCCCTCTGCTTGTATCAGCCAGGAAAAACTGCTTTCGGTGTTTTCTTTGGCAAAACGGGGTGTTGGTGGAAGGTGTGGAGCATCGCTGCCTGCCCAGCCCTGGGTGCAAGCCGTGGGAGCGCAAAACCACCCTTTGCTGCAGCACCCTAAAAATGAAGCTGTCGGGGGAGCAAAACGCCTTCCCAGAGAACTGATTGACTTTGGGAGGGGGTTTTGCATGGTTTTCGGGAAGAAGCAGCGGGGTTGGGTGATAAATGGCCTGGAAACTTGCAGTGATCACCCATGGAGCTCTTTTTAGAGGGATTTTTTCCTTTCGGCTGCAGGCGTCACATCTTTGGCAAGGGATGGGTGGGTTTTGGTGGTGCCCAGGACCGTGCAGGGCTGCGGGTCCTGCTGGCTCTGCGTGGGGTGGGGGGCTGCTTGGGTCACCGTTTTCTCAGGGGATTTTCCTCCCATTTGGGTAAATGGAGCTCTCCTCCCCCGCAGGGCTCGACCTCTCTGCCGCGTTCTCAGGAGCCAGGGGAGCGGGAGGAGGTGGTGCCGGGGGCCATGGCGAGCCCCTCGCCCACCCGCAACCCCACCGAGGTGCAGATGAGCCAGCTGGTGCTGCCCTGCCACACCAACCACCGCGGCGAGCTCAGCACCGGCCAGCTGCTCAAGTGGATCGACAAGGCTGCCTGGATCTCCGGTAAGCCACCCTCTCCCACCGAAACCAACATCCCGTCGGGCCGGGAGGGAAGGGACCTGGTGGCATCCCCAGGAGCTGGCTCATCGGCGGCATGCCTGGCGGTCCAGCACCCTGACACCAGCTGGGGACCCACATCATGCCACTTTGCTGAGTAATTAAAGAGCAAACAGGAGCAGGACGAGAGGGGGAGGAGACGTGCGCTGCAGCACGAACGCTTGCTCGGGGCAGACCAAAATCAACATCTGCTTCTTCGCAAACACTGCCCCTTTCCTTGCCTGGTGCACAGGGCGTGGCGAGACCCATGGTGAGCTGGTGATGTCCTCGGCATCCCGGCAGTGGCCGGCGAGCTCTGCCGGACAGGGCTGAGCTCCTCCACTCGGCAAGAAGCTCACCCTGCCAAGAGCAGTGTGGGTCGCCAAGCACGGGGAAAGGAAAACGGGTGTAGTATTGCAGTTTAATGAGGTTCTGAGTCCAATTTTGCAGTTTGAAGTTCCTGGAGTCCCAAGGGAAAGATGGAATGGCAAGACGGCTTTAAAATATTTGCTGTGTACAGGGAGATGATATCAGCTGCCTGTGCATCGCCGCAGTGGCTGAAAGCATCGAGGGAAGGCAAACAGCAGGGCAGCGTGCCTGCTAGTTACAACACACCCTCCAAACTCTTAAAACATCTGCAAACCCACACTGCTATGGGGTGGAGAAGCCCCAAACCCTGCTCTTGTCCCCTGCAAACGTGGCAGGCGGGCACGAGCAGGGAAAGGGACGCCAGACGGGGTTTCACCAGTGTCACCAGCTCCGAGGCAGCAGCTGTGGGGTGGGGGAGCGCATGTGCCCCTCGCACGCTCGGCATGTTGCTGCAGGTAGCTGATGCAGTTTGTTTTTCTTTTCCAGCCGAGAGACATGCTGGCTGCCCATGCGTCACGGCTTCCATGGATGATATCTATTTTGAGCATACCATTAGGTAAATACTCTGCTCTCCAGTGGGGCATGCCTGGGGGAGGCGGATGGGTTTTTCTCATCTGCCAGGTGCAACGTGGAGAGCAGGGCCGGAGCTGGGACAGGGAGCAGCGTGTTTGGGAGGGGAGGAGATGTGGCCCCAGTGCCAGCTGGGGACTGAGGCTCCGGGTCCACCACGGGGCTGAGGGCTGGCTGGCTGCTCTGATTTATCCACTGTCTGGTCACTCGGGGAGCTCCTGCTGGGTTGGCTTCCCGGTATGTCCCCCGATCCCGGCTCCTCCCTGGCTTTGTTCAAGAAATAACTCTCACTTAGTGCTCTGGAAAACTTAAGTCTTGCAAATTGTGCCTTTGTAGTGGCTGTGTGGGTGGCTGGCGTGCGGTGGAGCTCCCCCGCCCACCGTGCGCTGGGGGGGAGTGGGACCTCCTAGAGCATCGCTTTGTGAGATGCACCAGGCTGAGCTTTGCCCAGCCAAAATCCCCTCCCAGGCTTGTCCCGGCATCCCCCTGGGCACTGCCACAGCAGAGGTGACACCCCGACACGCGCAGCCCCTGGACTGCCACATTGCAGGGGACAACATAAGTATTCCCACCAGGTGTAGGTCTTACATGCCCAAGGTGGTCTCCTCCCTTACCACCCCTGGTAAGCCCAGGTGCTGCCACCCGCCTTTACTCATCTCTCAGAGCCCCCATACCTCCCAGTGCAGGGGGATGCCTGTCTGCTCACCTCCTGGGTGCCATCTCAGGGGGCTCTGCGGGTGTTTTGGTGCAGGGTTTTGGCGCACCTACGAAGGTGCCCACAGGACCCGATGGCAGAGGTGCCCATGTGCTGTCAGAGGGTTTTTTCTGGCATCCCCGTCCCCTGGGGACCTGCTGGCCAAAGGCTGGCCTGGGCAAGCAAGCTGTGCCATATAGGATCCATGCTGCCTAGAAGCTCCCCACTGTGCAGGTCTGCCTGCCGAGGACGGAGACCAGCTGTGGCTGCCCAGGGCTGGCACTGGGGTCCCAGGATGTCGGCTGATTTGTTTGGTGCTGGGAGGTCCGACTCATTCTTGGGTTTCACCATCATCCTCAGGAAATGTTAAACTCGCCCTTTCTCCATCTCACATCAGGTGCTGCGGTGCTGGTGGGTCGGGCAGCCACTGGCAGACGCTGGGGGGGCGAAGCCACTGGCAGAGGCTGGGGTGCCTGTTGGGTGGCACCGCCAGGCCAATGCCCTGCACTGAGCGGGCTCAGCGGGTGCTGAGCCCAGCACCACGTGGCTCCAGCTCCTGGGGCAGCTTTGCCTGGGAGGCTTTTCTCTGTGGGTTTTGGAAGCTGGAGGACAGACCCGAGTCCCTCTCCAGAGCATTAAATCAAGCCCTGCAAGGCATTCGCCCCTCCTCGGGGGTGAGCCAGGCACCACTCCAAGGGGTCAGGGAATTTGTGTTGCTCCTGGCTCAGATCCTGCTTGCTGTGGTCCAGCTTAATGCTCCTAGCGAGGGGCCTGGCAAGGGATTTCCCACAGAGCTGTTCGAAGGCAGAGGAGCTTTGGGCGGTGTTTGCCATCTGCTCTCCTCCTTGCCTGGCTGTTTGTGCTTCCTGCCGCCCTCCCACTGCAAGAGAGAGACCCCCTTGGGCAGGGAAGGGCTGTGGGTGCTGGGGGGCACAGAGGAAACCCCAAAACATCACTGACTTAAAAACTCATTGGCTGGGCATCGGATGCTCCCCATCCCTCAGCGCTGCCAGGTAGAAGTGCAGCCTCCTGGGAGGATTTCATGTGGGTTCATGTGGCTTTTATGCACCGGCTTGTGCCATTTGATAAGGAGAGAGAGAGGACAAAGCATTTCTGGGGGGCTGTATTACAGACAGCTGGGGCTGCCAATGCTCCTGCCCAGACCCCTGCCCTTGCACGCCCCTTGCTGCAAACCCAGCTGGAGCATCCATGCTCCAGCCTCGCCATGCCACTGCTTCCTTCATCTCTAACCCTCTCCCCCATCTTGCTTTTTCTTTTCACACCAGCGAGCTGTATATAAACCCTCCTGGGCAGCGGGACGGGAAGAGCGGTGTCTGGTACGGACGTTTGCAGCCCTAGAGCAGCCGGCCTAACGCAGCGCTGCCGTGAGTTGGGAGCATTAACCCCACTGATGTGGCACGGCCTGGGAGGTGCACGGAGGCTGCTCATGTAACCCCGCTAATGTTTTGGCATGCTGAGTCGGGCGCAGGGTTGCCGCTGGGCCCGGGATCTGTGCCAGGGGATGGCCGGAGGCACCATCCCAGCCTCATGCCACCCCTGCTCCAGCCAGAGCCAACGTGCAAAGCATGTCGAGTAGCTGAGATGATTACGGTCATTTGAAGCCAGAAGTCGTGCGTGGGGGCAAGGGGGAAGTTACAGTGCCGAAGCACACACTGACTCTTCCTTGCTTCTGGTTTTGAGCTCTCTATGGTGCAAACCTGCAGTGGTGGTTATAGGGTTTATTTTTCCACTGAGTTTTCTAGCATTGGTCTCTTTTAGGGGATGAGTAATATTCCTGATTTAGTAATGCATTTGGTAAAGACTCTGTTTGCTGTCGGTGTCGCAAATAAGCTGCATTTGCTCATTTGGTCATACCACTCTGGAGGAGGTTAGGCTGCAGAACTGAAACTGTCTGTGTGTTTACTCTGAAGCCTACTGAAGGCCCAGAGGAGAGCTCCTGGACTTCTGCGAGCAACAGTTTGCTGCCAGCAGATGTTTCATGTGAGAGATGGTGCAAAATGCTCCTGGCCGGATCCTGCCTCCTGCCATCTCCCAGAATCCCAAGGTGTCCATCACTGGGAGGCCCTGGAGACGAGGCGGGATGGAAGCAGTCAAGATGCCTGCAGCTGTGGGGCTGCTGCCGCTGCCGCCGGCCAAGGACCCATGGGGAGGGCCCATGGGGAGGCCCCATGGGTGCTCCTGTTGTGCAGGACAGTGCATGCGAGGCTGGAGGAGCCGTTTGCTCTGGCAGGAACGTGCATGCCTACATAGCGGGGGGTGCCAAGCACGCCTCGGGCACCTCTGCACCCCTGAGGTGTCCCAGCAGCACCCCAGAGCTGGGGACCCGTTTGGATGCAGATGCTCAGGCGTGACATCTCACCACTGGGCTGGACACCCGTGGGCTCCCACGTTTTGGCGGTGGCTGTCCCCCTGTGCTGCTGGCCATCCCGGCCTGTCCCTACTGT